CTTTAAATGTGCTTTACTTGGCTTGGCTTGCACTCTTGTACTTCTGCCATCTGCCAAGAGAAGAATGTGCCCAAGGGACAGCTGTTGCCAAGTGGATGAGAGACAGGTAGAGCACACCCGCACCTAACCAACAGCCTAGAGTCAAGTCCAACTAATCCCAGACAAGCCTGGCAAAGCCACCTTCAACCAAAGATCTGTGACCTAGATATATAGAAGAATAATGTTGTGAGCTACTTAGGGGTTGTTGGTCATGCAGCATTGTTGCAGCAGCAGACATTTGTAGTGGACACATGATGTTTTCATCTGTCCAGCATCCCTTCTATTCTACTGATAACAATTCCTCTTTCTTTTAGGCAACTGCCAAAAGGTGGTTCTGGCAAGCTTTCAATCACAGTACCTCATCCCAGAAGTGGACATAGCATGAGTCCATTCAAGGTAACAGGAAGAAAGAAGAAAGAACCAAAGGACACCCCCTTTTTTTTTCTTTTTTGGTGGCTAGCTGGTACAGGGATCTGAATCCTTAACTTGGTGTTATAACACCACATTCTAACCAACTTAGCTAACTTGCCAGCCTTCCCTTCTTTTTTAAAGATAACGGGTTAGCAGATTTCCCCAAAGATGTTTGTGTTCTAATCTCCAGAACCTGTGAATACATTAGGTTGCATGGCAAAGAGGCATTAAGGTTGCATACAGAAGTAAATTTTCTAATCTGCTGACTTTAAAATAGGGAGAGTATCCTGGATTATCCAGATGGGCCTAGTGTACTCATGAGGGTCCGTAAGTGAGGAAGAGGCAAGCAGAACAGTCAACCTCAGAGTGGTGGGATATAAAAATGATTCAACTGGCCATCACAGACTTTGAAGATGGAAGCCAAGGCATGTGGCAGCCTCAAGAAACTATGAAAGGCAAGGATTCTCCCCTAGAGCCTCCAAAAGGAACACAGCTCTGCCAATGCCTTGACTTTAGCCTAGTGAGACCCATCAGACTTCTGACCTCCAGAACTGTAAGACAATAAATTTATGTTGTTTTAAGCTACTAAATTTGTATTAATGTGTTACAGCAGCAACAGGGAACCAATACAGGATTTTTCTATAAAGGACCACACATACCTCTGCTTACATCTCATCGGCTAGAATTTAACCACATAGTCATGCCTAGCTATGAGAGAGACTGGGTGCATTGCCAACCCAAATTAAATCATGATTTCATTACCAGGGGAAGGGGAGAATGTATGTTGGAGTGGAAAAATGGCAGCCTTAGTCACAGAACCCCTTTACTCTGGCCACAGTGATTTTCCAGAGGTGAGCGTATGACTCAACAGACTAACTCTTACCTGAGGTATTATTTGTCATAAGAAGAAAAATGTCTTCCTCATGGAGTTACTAGTGGTACTAATGCAAGCCCAGGGCTTACTGCAGCCACTCCCTGCACCCCCGACCAGGACAGAATGAGTTCAACAACAAAGACAGGAAGAGCTAAGAGAAGGAGATTGTTCTAGTCATCTATTCCTATGTTACAAGTCACCCCCAAAATTAGTGGCTTAAAATAACCACAATAATTTTATTATCACTCACATGGTTCTGGGGTTGACTCAGCTCAGTTGGGGGGTCTTGTTCAGGACTGCTTATGTGGCTGCAGCTAGATGACAGCTCAGGCTGGAGTCATCTCAGAGCTTCCTCACCCATGTACCTGGTGGCTGATGGTGGCTGTTGGCCAAAACACCTGCACATGGCTCTCCATGTGGCTTGAGCTTCTTCACAGCATGGCGGCAGTGTCCTTATCACCTTTTATGACCTAGCCTCACATGCCACACAGCATCATTTTCACCACTGTGATAAGCTCACCCACATTCAAGGAGAGGGAACACAGACCCTATCTTTCATTGAGAGGAATGTCAAAGTCACACTGTAGGAAAGACCTGTGGGAAGGGAAATTCTGTTGCAGCCATTTTTGGAAAATATTATGCTGCCAAAGATTCATGACATTATCACATGAGGCTTCAATCAACCTGTCCTTTCTGGATAACTAAATCAATACATCTCCTTCCTGCTTATGCTAGTGTGAGGAGGGTTTCTGTCACTTCCTGGCTACAAGAACATTAGAACCACATCTCACAGGGCTGCTCTAAGGGTTAGATGAGTGATAATGTTTGTAAGTTCCCATCACAGTAGCGGCTGCATAAGTAGCAGTTCCACTCTCCCTGTTCCTTCTCTTCCAGTGAACTTTCACTTTCCCTGTGGATGAGAGAAATCTGCTACTAATGCCATCTACGTTGCAAGAGAGCAGTAGGAGCATCCTTTGCCACTGGGGACAGTTCATGGCCTTGCCTTGCAATTACACTCTCAGGAACTTTTGTAATACATGTGCTCTAGCCCGAAGCAGACAGAGCTCTGCTCTTCAGCAGGAGTCTTTGTTCCCTCCACCCCTGATTTAACATTTCTATCGGTGTGATTCTAAACTGGGAACTGCACTGTCTTCATATTATAGTATAAATAAAAGATTTTGCGAACTGATTTTTAAGAGTTTTTTTTAAAAAGCCTTTTATAATACAGTTTCTTTAAATATATCACATTAGCAATCCCCAGACAGAAATCTCCTTCATCTCCCATTTTCTAGACTCCTCCATTTAAAAAAAATATTTTTCCTAATATGAAAAATAACATGTATACATTGCAAAAAATTTAGGAAATACTGAAAACTATGAAAAAGAGAACAAATAATCTCTCATAATCTTTTAACATGTAATGGGAATCACATTGTGTATAAAGTCCTGTAACCTGATTTTTCTCCCCTAAAAGTATATCATGAAAAATGTTGTATAATATTTGTATCACATTGCTAAACTATAATTTAATTAGTACTGTATTAGTCTGTTTCTGTTCTTTATAACAAAATACATGGAACTGGGTAATTTGTAATAAATCATAATTTATTGCTTACAGTTTTGGAGACTGGGAAGTCCAAAGTCCAGGGAACACATCTGGTGAAGTCTTGGTTGGTGGTGACAGTGGTGCAGGGGTCTCACATGGCAGAATGGTGGAGCAGAGAGAGAGAGTAATCTCATCCGCTTATCTTTTAAAGCCCTTAGAATCACTCCCATTATTCCAAGAATGCATCAATCCATTCACAAGGGTAGGTCTTTACAATCTTATCACCTCTTCAAGGCCCCATCTTTCAATTAGCATATCAGGATTTTCCACCTTCAACAGTTACAGTGGGGATTGAGTTTTGGGGGGACATTCAATCCAAGGCAAGAACGCTGACAGACAATGTCCCATTTTTCTTTTATTTTTTATTTTTTATTTTTTTCTGGCAGCTGGCTGGTATGCGGATCTGAACCCTTGACTTTGGTGTTATAACACCATGCTTTTACCAAATAATCTAACAAGTCAGCCTTCCATTTTTCTATTATTGTAATAACTTAAACATCTTCAGGGCTGACCAGATAGTTCAGCTGGTAAGAGCACTGCCTTATAACACCAAGGTCAAGGGTTTGGATACCCCTACTAGCCAGCCATAAAAAAAAAAAAATTGTAGCTCTTTGAGAATGTTTTGATTTTTGCCCTTAGAATAGATATCCTTGGCTATAACTTACTGATTCAAAATGTATGACCTCTTATATATATAGTTAAATTATTTTCATAAAAGCCTCTTACTAGTAATGTAATAAAGTGCCCTCTCATCACTTCGTTGAGAGCACTGAGTATTATCATTTTTTAAAATTGTTTTGTTTTTATAATTTAGCTGATAAAAAACGGTATCTGGCAGTTTCAGACTCCCTTGAAAGTGAAGAAGGTTTGATATGACATCTCTCTCTCTCTCTCTCTCTCTCTGCCATCTTGCATGATTTCTGATTGTTTATCCTCCTTCTTGTTGGACTTCAGAGCTATTCTGGCAGACTTTTCTTTTGTTCAGGTTCCAGCTGTACTCTCCAAAGTCTAACTCTGCCAGGGTGCAGCAGGTCAGATGTTATCCATTAACCATGGTAGTGTGTGTTAAATGGTTGACCAGGAACACTTTGGAGCCAGCAGAAGTGTTGAGTGAGGCTGCGCCTGCCCCTGAAAGCCCCACTTTATTTCTGCCTAGTGAGGAAAAGCAGCATCTTCCACTGGTCAGGGCAGGCCAATGAAGCACACAGGAGGAGCTAAAAGCAAAGCCTTATCTGGCATTGCTGCCGCTAGAATCTGAGGAAGCACACCTCCTTAACTGTGCACATTAACAAGACTCCAATGTTTAAAAGGGAACCTGGAGCTCTTGCATGTGCAATGACTGAGTTATCTGAAAACAGTGTTCAGGGCTCCGAGGGGAGGAAGCCACTTTCCAGCAGAAGAGCCACAGAACACACAGTGGGACACACAGAGGGGGCTAAGGACCTGCAGGAGCCAGAGGACTGAGCAGCAAGACCACATGGCCTGGGCCAGAACCGAGACCATTCTTTTAGCTACATCAAACTTTAAAGGACTTCCCACTTATTTATTTCTCCCCATTTTATTATGAAACTTTTTGAACATATAGAAAAATAGAATTTTACAGCAAGCACCCAAGTGGAAATGGGGCAAACCCCTAATATTTCCCCTAAGCTATCTCTATACCCCCAGCCAGAGGAGGCCTCGAGCTGGGGGCAGGGAGTAGCTGAAGAAAAAATTAGCTTAATGACAGGCTGAATTCCTGGGAGTGACTGTTAACACTAAGATAAAAATAAAGTTAGTTAGGGCTGGCCCATGGCTCACTTGGGAGAGTGTTGATGACACCAAGGCCACAAGTTCGGGTCCCTATATAGGGAAGGCCGGTTAGTTCACTTGGGAGAGCGTGGTGCTGACAACACCAAGTCAAGGGTTAGGATCCCCTTACCGGTCATCTTTAAAAAAAAAAAAAAAGAATAAAGTTAGTTAAACATATATCTCCCTGATGTTAAACAAGATCTCAGGGCCACCAGATGTTTGTCCTCAGTAAACAGCTTAAGATAATATCAGTAACAACATCTCACCTTGTTTTTGCAGACCACCTGAAACTACAAGCCTGATTTGAAGCACACACCCTGGACCTTGAGGCGCCATGGAAAATATCAGTCAAGATGCCAAGAATAGTTGTGCTGACTTTGCCCCAAACCCATCAACTCCCGGGACCCTATACTCATGACTCTGCTCTACAAATGCTTGTGATTTTAAGCTATCGGGGAGTTTGAGGTCTTTAAGCTCTTTGAGATGCCTTATGTTCCTTTGACTCGCCTCTCAAATAAATGCTGATCTTTATCACTGCAAACACTGATGTGAGAGACTTTTTAGCCATTTGGTTGGTGAACAGCAGAACCCCCTCAGTTGGGTAACAAAGTAACCACTACATAGATGTTACCAAAACATTTTACTCTAGTTGCTTTATTCTGTATCCACCTATCCATCCTTCTATTCATCCAACTATCTGAATTATTTTTTGATGCATTTCTTTTTTTTATGTGAATCTATAGTCATTTATTTTTTTCTTTTTTTTAATTTTAACTTCTCAATATACATTGTAGTCGATTTTCATGACCCTTTACCTGTTCCTCTTTCCCCCTCCCTCTCTTCCCTCCCTCACTACATCATATCTGTTCACTTGTCTTAAAAAGTTTTTGATGCATTTTAAAGTAAATTGCAGGTGTCAGTATGCTTCCCCCTAAATACTTATGCATATATATTTATTAACTAAAGTTCAATTTTTATAACAGTTCAATTATTTCTTTGGGGCTAAATTTATGTACAACAAAATGCACAAATCTTAAGTGTACCATGTGATGACTTTTAACAAATGCGTTTACTTTTACAACCCAGATTTCTGTCAAAATATAGAACATTACTACCAATTCAGAAAGGTTCGTCATACTCCTTTCCAGTCAATATCTATCATCATGCTCCCAAAGGCAAATACTGCTGTGATGTTTTCCTACCATAAATTGGTTTTGCCTGTTCTACATCTTCGTAAAGATGAAATTATACACTTGTATTCTTTTGTGTGAGGCTTCTTTCACTCCCTGTAAGGACACTTAATTATATAGGAGAAAAATGGAAAACTATAGAGCTTGCTGGAGATGGTGTTTTCATTTAGGGACAAGAGAAAAACTTTTTCCATTAAATAGAATTTAAAAGATAGTGGGAAACACCATTACAGGAGTCCAAACTCTTCCCAACTTATTCTATGAAGCCAGCTCTACCCTAATACCAAATCCAAATAAAGACATTATAAGAAAAAAAAACTATAGACCAATATCTCTCACAAACATCAATATGAAAATCCTCAACAAAATATTAGCAAATTAAATCCAACAATGTATAAAAAGAATTATACATCACAACCAAATGGGATTTGTTTCAGATATGCAAGGCTGGCTCAACATTCAAAAATCAATTAATGTAACCTATCACATCAACAGGCTAATAAAGAAAAATTACATGATCATATAAATAGATGCAGAAAAAGCATCTGACAAAATCCAATACTCACTTACAATAAAAACACTAAGTAAACTAGAAATAGAGGGGGAGCATCCTCAACTTGACAAACAACATCTACAAAAAATTTACAGCTAACATCATATCTAATGGTAAGAAACTCAAAGCCTTCCCACTAAGGAAACAAGGAACAAGGCAAGGATATCCCCTCTCACCACTTCTTTTCAACATCGTACTAAAGTTCTAGCTAATGCAATAAGACAAGAAAAGGAAATAAAAAGAACATAGACTGGGAAGGTAGAAATGAAACTATATTTGTTTGCAGATGACATGATTGTCTATGAAGAAAATCAGAAGAAATCAACAACAACAAAAAAACTGGAACTAGTAAGCAGTTATAGAAAATTGTAGAACACAGGTTATTATACAAAAGTCAATCACTTTCTTGTATACCAAGTGGAATTTGAACAAGCAGAATATGAAATTTAAAACATAATACCATTACATTAACATCCCCCCAAAATGAATTTCTTAGTTATAAATCTAACAAAACATGAACAAGATCTTTATGAGGAAAACTACAAAATTCTGGGGAATGAAATTAAAGAACTACATCAATGAAGGAATATTACATGTTCATGGATAAGAAGGCTCAGTATTGTTAAGATGTCAGTTCTTTCCCAATTGATCTATAGATTCAATGCAATCTCAATAAAAATCCCAGCAAGTTATTTTATGGATAACAACAAACTGATTCTAAAGTTTATATGGAGAAGCAAAAGACACAAAATTGCCAACACAACATTGAAGGAGAGTACAAAGTTGGAATGACACTACCTAATGTCAAGACTTACTAAAAAGCTACAATAATCAAGACAGTGCGAAAACCTACATGACCTTGGTGTGGCAGTGACTTTTTAGATGCAACACCAAAGGTATAATCTATAAAAGAAATAATTGATAACTTATACTTTATTAAAACCAAATGATATGGACTATTCACACAATGGAATAATGTAGGATGATGAACGGACAAACTACAACCTCATGCAACAGTATGCTACAAGGTTGTCAGAGGGACACATACAGAGAAGGTGTAAATGCTCCCTGGTAGAGTGGGTCCAGGTCTAGAGGAAGTAAGGACAAGCAAATCTGATGAGCAAAGTATTCAGCCCCCATGGAGGGAGCCCTAGGAAGAGTGCTTAAAACATGAGATTTACTTCAGTGCTGGCAGGTCTGGGTTCAAATCCTGCCTCTGCCACTTGCTACTTAATCTCTGTTTACTCATCTCTAAAGGGGGTTATTATGAGGATTGAGTGAAATCAAATGTGTTCAGATGTATAAAGTGCCAGGCACCCAGCACCTGCTCAATAAGTGGGGTGATTATTTTATTGTGTGGAGGGAATGATGATGTGGTGTACCAATCCTAGAAGATGAGGACAATTAAGTCCTTACCTATGATGGACACATAGCTGACCCCTCCCTGAATTCCTATGATATCATACACATAGGTTTCTTGGTGGACTAACCACATGCATGGAATCTAAATGATGTGTTTATGTGTCTGTTGCCCCTACTGCCTACTGGATATGGGATTGGAAATGTACCTGGCACACAATAGACATTCAGTGTGTGCATTGAAAAAATAAACCTTGGGGCCGCCCCGTGGCTCACTCGGGAGAGTGTGGCACGGGAGCGCCGAGGCTGCGGGTTCGGATCCTATATAGGGATGGCCAGTGTGCTCACTGGCTGAGCGTGGTGCGGGTGACACCAAGCCAAGGGTTACGATCCCCTTACTGGTCACAAAAAAAAAAAAGAAAAGAAAAGAAAAAAGAAACCTTGATAGGAAGCATTGGCACTCCCTCTGGAGACCAAGGGAAGAACTACTACTGAGCTGACCATCATGTTGGGTTCCCACAAATTTATTCAAGTCCTGTTGCCTGGCTGATTGTGCAGCCTCTGCTTTTGGTGGCTACAAACAGTGCTGTGAGAGGAGATTTTTACTGAATTCTGAACTTTTTATGCAGAGCTCAATCCTGGACCCCACTGCCTGTCTCTTGCCACCTGCTTTGTGGGACCTTCAGGATGCCTGCTTCTCTGATTCACCTCTAGGTACTTGTCCCCACCCCAACCTCCCCCTGCCCAATTGGCTCCAGGCTGCGGCACCCTTGTATGCCCTTGAAAAAGCTGTTCCCTCTCTCCCCCAGCTGGTAACTCCCTCCTCTGTCCCACTCACCCATATGGACACATTTTTATCACAGAACTCTAAATGCCCTTTGAAGAAGGGCTGTATCTTTTCTATCTCTGTATCCTCAGAGCTTAGCCACATAAATCCTCAATAAATCTTTATAGACTGGATGAATAGATGGATGTCAAAATTCCATCACCTTGTCTTCCTCAGCTCTACCACCTTCAAAGTATACTGAAACAAATGATATTAGCAAATAGCCATTGCTAACAATCATTGCCACAATTAAGATAATGTTATTTGCTGTTACAGTTGAGTAAAACATCTCAGTGACTCAACACAATAGAACTTCATTGCTCATTCCTGCAAAGCCCAGAACAGAGTCCCTGCTCAGTGGAAGACTTCTTCCAGGTCCTGCCTCCGACCTCCTCCACAGCCTCGGGGTCCTCAGTATTCATCCTGCAGACAGGGAAAGCATGGAGGTTTTGATGGGCTAGGTCTGGAACTGACATGCATCACTTTTGCTGATATTCCACTGGCTATAATTCAGTCACATGGTACCCTAGTTATAAGGGAGGCTGGGAAATGTAGTCTAGCTGTGAGGGCCCAGACAGAAGAGGAACAGAGTTTGCTTAGCAGCCAACCAGTCTCTGCCACACTTTAAGGAGAATTCCTTTACCAGCTGAAAGATTTGATAATTTAGATTCAGCTCTGCCATTAACATCAATAGACTATTTTAAGATCAGAAGGGCTTTTGTGGGTGGAGAGGAACACTTACCACCACTTGTATGGCAATTAATGCTGCCTTTGTTAAACACAACACTAATTGTTTTCTTTTTGGTGGCTGGCCGGTATGGAGGTTCGAACACTTGACCCTGGTGTTATCAGCACCATGCTCTCCCAAGTGAGCTAACTGGCCAGCCGTAAACAAAACACAATTTTAATAAACCACTTTTAGAGAATGATTTTTCTTAAACATTTGAAAACTGATTTAACTTAATTCAACAAATTGCCTGAACAATTTAAACTAAAATTATAGTTTTATCATGACTGATTATTTGAAACTTCAAATATTCTAGTCCGGGAATCAGCAAACTATGGCTCACTGGCTGATTTTATAAATAAGGTTTTATTAGCACACAGCCACACCCTTATTTACATATTGTCTATGGTGGCTTTCACTCTACAACAACAGAGTAGTTGCAACAGAGATCATATGGCATGCCAAGCCAAAAATAGTTACTATCTGGCCCTTTAAAAAAAAACATTTAGACTGGAACACAATATCCACAAATACAACAAAACTAACTACCACATTTACATTTAAACCTGTTTTAAGATACCAACACCATGAGATCCATCTTATAATCCCCACCCTTACACTTATTCTTTTACCTTTTTTAGAATTGTGGTGATTTTGATACCTTCAAGGATACAGTAAAAAGACCCTAAAGCAGTGGGGGGAGAAGAGAGAAAAGAGAAGAAGGAAGAGGAGGGAAGGTGGGGGGCGGTGGGGGAGGAGTAGGGGAAACACATGCTTGTTTTATGAAGACACATTTTGATTAATGAGGACAACTAGACGTCTCATTCCTCTGAAATCAAGGAATGGGGTCAAGGCAGGCAGTTCTCTTTTGGAGACTGCCATACCC